AACCTCCTGATAAGATCAGGAGTAAACTAACTTAATCTGCAGATAGGATTAAGATAATCCCCTATCCAAATATAGATTTGGATTGGGATAACTCTTAATTCGGAGGTTTTTAATCAAGAAGAAAAGAGGAGAAAAACAAGAGAGAAAAAATACATCATTTTTCGAACTAGGATTTTGGTGAAAGAAAACTCCCTGCGAATTGAGATTAGATCTCATTCATACTCCAGAGGGAAGAAAAGCAGTTCAGCCATCTTCGATCTTTGCAACAATAGGAAGTCAAGAAATCAGTTCTTGACATCAGTCTTGCAAGAAAGACTGAAGAATATTCGGTGTTCAGAGTTTCCAAAGGATTCTTGCGAAGGATCCAGTGTGTAAGATGCACCCTGCTGGTTCCGTTCCATCCACAGTTGTGTCATCTTCAGCAGGAGCGGATCTTGGTTTTTTCTTTGGGCATGAACACCAACTTTGGGAGATACTGTTTCTCCGAATCAGGTATAATCCTCCCATTTACCTTTTGGTTCAGATCTGATTTGATTATGGTTCAAATAAGATCATTGAATATGGTATTCTAAATTTAGGGAATACGATTCCCAATTGAAGGAAGGTAGGAAATTTTTGAAATTCGCCCACCCATTCTGCAACCTTTTGGCATCCATTAGATAGATCGTAACATTCCTGTAGAAAGGTCAACAAATTTCTCTATCTGAGCAAGAGCTGGTATTTGTTGGGCATTCTTGGATTTTGGTACTCTTTGTCATGCAACAAGTATCAATGGATATGTGGATGTCCCATCAAACGATGAAAATGCACTATTGAAAGCTATAGCAAAGCAACCAGTTTCAGTCGCCATACACGCTAGTCGTGACTTCCATTACTATATTCAAGTGGTGCTTTTATAGGGGAATGTGGAACTACTTTCAATCATGATTTTCAAAATCGGACCAGATCGGACGGTTGGATCAGAAAAACCGATAATCAGTTATTTGATTGGTTCCGTTTTTTCTTTAAAATTGTTTTTTTCCTCAATACCATTGATTTTGGTCAGCAAACTGTTGAATCGGCTGATTCACCATTCAAACCATTCGAATTGTTCGAACGATTTGACCGTTTTTTAATTTTTTTATTATTTTTATTAGAGTGAACCAATCATTCGAGTCAAACAATCAGACTGTTCATAGTTTATATAATATAAAAAATTATATTAAAAAGAAGCAGCTAGACGTGGGATGCATGTTATATGGAAGTTTTGTGGGTTGTAGCATGGAATATTTCGTATTAGTTAAGTATTAAGCGCTAATTATTTGTCATTGCTCGTGTAATTAACTTAAATTATAATAGTGAATGTTTACCTAAGGTGTGTAATTTCCTCTATATGATATATTGTTGTTATCACTTTGGACCATTTGTGTTTGAAGTTTTTATTATCTAATTGTGTATCATACTTTCCGGATAGAATCATGCCCTACCGGACAGCTGGACTTAGAAGTTATTAATTTTTAAACAACATTGCTGGACTTAGGATCATGCCCTACTAAAATAAAGATTAATTATTTTAAACAACACTGCATTCCTTCCTTATAATAGTTATTAATTTTTGTTGTTTCACTTTAATGATAAAAATACATCTTTTACCATATTTTTAATTTAAATCATATGTAGGGGCGAGCAAATGGGTCGGAACTGAATGAAACCAACCTCAAATTAGCCTTGAACTGCCCCTATCCAATCTCTTATAGGGTAGGGTCTAGTTCCAAATTCTTGAAACCAAGCCCCACCCAAACCAATTTTAGGGTCTAGGGGTTTATCCTACCCAAACCAATCTGATGAACCACCCTTGGTTGGTCTTGGTGTAACTGAACTTGTCTTGAAATAAACCCCAAAATACTTTTGAGAATGTGAAGATTTAAGCCAAAGCACTTATGGTTGCAAAGGCTATGGTCTGACCATTGAATTACTTAAGTGGTTTGATAATTTGTTTTCATTTTAATATTTGAATGTGTATAAAAAATAATGTAAAAGGTAATATTTATAAAATTTAATTTATAATGATAAGTTTTGAACCATATATTAATATATTATGATAATTTTCATACTAAATTACTTAATTTAATCAATAAAGATAATATAAATTATAAACTATATATTATATTTATTGAAAATCACGTTTTTAAAGAACGTGTTTCATTTTTTTGAAGGGAGAGAGTAGATCTTGGAACCAACCCTAAAAACACCAAGGCCAAAACCGACCTTCACAAAATAGTTTCCAATTCCAAAAACCTACAATCCATAAAACCAAACCGAACCGATCCATACTCACCCCTAATCACATGTATTTAAATCTAAAATGTTTAAAACGTAAAAATCCAAACACATTCAAAATCTAAATCACGAGTACTAGGCCTGGGTCCATACAAGAGCATTTAGAATAGGCGCTAAGCCCGGCCCAAGATCACCCATGGGCAGTTGTGTGTGATTTCAAAACTTTAATATATTTAGAAACATAGAAAATAATGAGAAGGCGGTGGCTGGTATTTTTACAACATACGTTTCGGTTGTAAACTGTCGGGACTCTGGAGCAAATGTGATGAATTGCAGGGAAGATGACATACCGAGACCGAGAGAGGGGGAGGGAGCTGGTCGAAATGGAGTGGATTGATCCCTTTTCCCACCAAGTCTTCTTCTTCTTCTTCTTCTTCTCCGAGCCAAGATGTTAGCATAGCACATTCATCAAAATTTGATTCAAATTCAATATCTCAGCCATGGCTTTGAACATGAAAATCTTAACTCAAGCTCTGGCAAAGACCGCAGCTGTGATCGAGAGGAAGGTACAGACCACAGTCCAAGAAGTCACCGGCCCAAGGCCCCTTCAGGACTACAATCTGATCGAACAGATTGGATCTGGCGGCCCTGGCCTTGCATGGAAGCTCTACTCTGCCAAAGCCCGTGGATCGATTCCATCACAATATCCAATCGTCTGCGTATGGGTCCTCGATAAGCGGGCATTCTCTGAGGCACGCGCTCGTGCTGGTCTGTCCAAGGCTGCGGAAGACGCTTTCTTCGATATAATTCGTTCTGATGCTGCTCGGTTGGTCCGGCTTCGGCATCCGGGAATTGTTCATGTGGTTCAGGCATTGGATGAGAATAAAAATGCGATGGCCATGGTCACTGAGCCGCTCTTTGCTTCGGTTGCTAATACGCTCGGTGCAGTTGATAATATCGCTAAGACGCCCAAGGAGCTCGAGGAGATGGTAGGTAATGGAATTTTGTATCAATTGCAAATTGGAGGATCTATTTCTATTTTGTGCTTTCCTGGTTTATTTAGGCTTTTCTTTTACATTCCTGTTCTTTTCCTTTCTCTATTACAGTATTCACATTTGGTAATTCAAATTGGTTTCTTTTATTGAGAGATCTATTGCTGTTTTCTTTTTCCCTAGAAAGCTAGAATGCAAGCGAGCTTCACTTTAATTCTACATTCATGAGTTGTTGCTAAATGTTTTATTGGATGCGTCTGGAGAACTATATATTCTGCTGTGATTGCAAGGTCAAACTAGAATCATGTAGGCATAATTCAGTGCAATTGATGTTTTTCTCCTCCTAATTGCACTTTGTCCCCTTATTAACTTAACACAGAGTTACTGGAACAGTATGAATACTTTCCCTTAAGTGTTCCTTAATATGGAAAAATGAATTTTATAATATGCTTATTAGCCAGTAATTCTTGTTTTTTAGATAAGAAACAGAAATCTTGTTTCACAGTTCATACTTCGAGATATGTGGTAAACTAATGGCACCCACTCCAGAAGTTAAAAGAAATATTGTTCTTTTTCCAGGAAAAACTTTGCAATGAGATTCTTCTGATAATTTTAAGTCAGAAAAAGACTCACTCTCTGATGTAGTACAGGACGTGTATTACCTTACTAAATTAAAGATGTGTATGTTCATGCCTGATATAGATTGCCTCGTTATTGAGATGTATACCTTGTTCTCTTCGCTGGTTCAGGACACTGTATGTCACACTGACTTAAGGAGAATTATGTTGGTGCTAGATGCAGAGTGTGAACTTTCTTATAGAAGAGAAAGTAGACTAAGATGGTTAGGTTACATGCATATACTATCGACAGCACCTGTAAGAAGAAGTGATCTGTTGCAAGTTAAGAGGCTAGAAGGGCTAGGGGAGGGGTACACCAGAAGGACGTGGATTGAAGTAGTAAGAAATGATTTAAATGCTCATAATTTAACAATGGAATGGCATTAAACAGAACAGAATGGTGAAAGAGGATTCATGTAGCCAACCCCACATTAGTTGGGATAAGGCTTGAATGATGATGATCAATTGATGATGGTGTTTTTTCTGTTATACTTATACCTAGTGCTATAAGGTGGAACACAATTGGATATCTGCCTTCTAGAAAGGCATGAGGATGCTAAGGTGTAAATTATTGCATCTCTAAAGGTTGAGATGTATGCTGGAATTATCTGCATATTGTTTATCTTAAAAGAAGTGTATACCCCTTCTAAAGATGGTTCTGATTGACAAAAGTATAAGAAAAAAAATCTAAATGGTGAAGAACTTAGACAGGACAGACTCTGTGCTTGGACGTTTTTCATTGCGTCTTTCTGTGAACAATGTTGAGGCATTGTTCAAGAAATAATCCATGATAAATTTTTTCTTTCTGTTCCCTGGAAATAAGATGCAAAAGAAGCAAATGTTCTTTCTTCTTGTTTGGTGGAAATTATTTGTGAAGTCCTCTCGAAATTTTCTTTATGCAAGAACCATGGTCATGTTTAAATCCCATGTCATTGACTATGCCAAAGGCCTCTTTTTATCAATAACAAGTGGGTTTTCATTAAAAAGTATTAAGGATTGAGTACAGGAATGTATTAAGGATTGTTAAAAAGTATTAACATGTAATTTTTCCCATGCCAACGGCTTCCTAGAAGTGCAAATCAATCTTAGATTGTTATATGCCTACAGAAAATGGGTAGTGCACTGATGTGACAGTGTGACACTGGGGATAGCTTTTTGTTGATATCCTACCATATATGTTAATTGGACTTCCTTGATTGCTCTTACATGGGAAAAATTACTTGGTTTGTATATCTTTGACAACCATTTGATGTTGATGGATCTCTTTTGACCTTTAAAACTTCTACAAGCCTATCTATTCACCAACTTGTTTATTTCTTTTTTGTGAGATGTAAGAGAAGATGGATTTATAAAATATTAAGGCTAGGGAGAACTCCTAAAATACAATGTGGGTCTTTGAATACTCAACTCACTGTAAAATTGATTGATGATCAACGTTATATTAATACGAATATCTAAGGTGTTCAATCTCAAGACAAGATCACTATAAAATCATAATCTGATCAAGAACATCAAAAGTTCCTCTTTCTACCTATGTGGCACCTATAGTGGGGTGTGAAATCCAGACTATGAACATCCTTCACCTAAGATGGAAAGAAGGAGCTCATGACAGAACGCAGGCTGTATTTGTGTAGTTGGCGTTGGATGGGTAAGAAGCAGAATAGAGCTGTTGGATGGATGCTTGGTTGAGAGATTTTAAAGGCAAATCTTGGAGATGAGTTTTCTGCTCATTGGCTGCTGCAAGAATGATGTCTTGGTAATCGAATTAAATTTATAGCCATTGGTAAGGGGATTTTCCTGCTTCGCTTGAAAACAAAAGGATGATGCTGTTTAAGTTCTTACTTTGGAAATTGTTTCAGAGATTGCTGGAATTTTGTGTTGATCATTGGTCTACAATGAGGGGTTGTATTAGAATTGATAGACTTTTTAAGGTGGTGCATTGGATTAAGTCATTTGAACTCTTCCATCCCTTCTCTGCAGATGATAGTATGGAATTGGTGAGCATGGTGCAGAGGGAAAAGAAAAGTTATAGAAGTTGGACACCAGCGGAAGAGGGCTTCATCAAGTTAAATATTCATGGGAGCAGCATGGGTATCTGGGACCTTAAGGGATAGAGGGTGCATTTAGAGATGAGAAGGGCAATATTAGGGCGTTGTTCTCCCGGGCAATAGGGGAACGTAACTCTCTAAGAGCTGGAATTATGGCTAGTTGGCTACAAAATAGGGGATACAAAGGTGTATTAGATGAAAATCAAGAAGATTGTGATTGAAGGTGACTCTAAGGTGGTGGTGGGCTGGTTGCAGAGAAAGGAGGATGTTCTATTGATTTATAGGAATGAAGCAAAAACGCTTATGTGGCTAATAGCAGGGATACATGTGCAGGTGCAAACAATACAGAGATTGACCAACTCTTGGGCAAGGCATGGGCAAGACACAGGGTGGTTAGGAATGAATTATTTTGGGCTGAATTCTATTGTTTGCTGAAATGGTTAAGTAGAAGAGCAAGAAGAGATGAGAGGAGAAGAGAAGAGAGCTGTGTATGGGCGGGAATCTATTTTCAGCTGGCCCTAGAAACTAGTACATATATTAACATTAGGAAGATACAATGAAAGGACTAGAATGCCCCTGATTAGTGATGGGACACCTAGACAGTACAAGAATAAAACCAGTTTAGGCCCAATAACAGAATATAACACTAAAACATAGAATGTTAAGCAGACCCACTAACACTTAATCACTCGACACAACACTAATTTTATTTTTATGGGTTTAAGAAACATTGTGTTTCTCAAATAGATGTTTAACACTTTGTACTCATACTTTTTTTTTGTGTAATTAATAAATTGCTATTACTTTATAAAAATGATAGACTTTTTAGTTTGTTATGGATTAATGTTGTTGGGATTCCTCTCCATGCCTGCTGTTTCCTTTGGTAGATGTATATTCCCTCTCTAGGTCTAGCCACCCTCTATTCTTAAGAAATATTTCAGAGGTCCCAGATCTTTGATTTAAACTCTAAGGCTAAGAAGTCTTTCAACTTTCGAATCTCATTCGAATCATCTCCTGTAACAACCATATCATCAACATAAACAAACAATTCTGTTAGTTTCCCTTCATTTATTTTATAGAACAATGTGTAATCAGCACTGCTCTACTTGTACCCAACAACCTTCGCTGCCTTGCATAATCTTTCAAACCAAGCCCTTGGAGATTGTTTGAAGCCATATAATGTCCTCCTTAGTTTGCATACCTTTCTTCTCATGTAATACCTTGGAGGAGGGTCCATGTAGACTTCTTGTAGATCTCCCTTTAAGAAAGCATTAACATTTAACTGATGTTATTCCCAAGAAAATTTGCTGCAAGAGAGAGTAACACCCGTATAGCATTCAATTTGGCAACTGGAGTAAAGGTCTCTATATAGTCAATCCCTTCCTTTTGGGTGAATCTTTTTGCAACTAATTTGGCTTTATACCTTTTGGTGGAACCATTAGCCTTGTGTTTGACTGTATATACCCACTTGCACCCTACATTGCTTTTCCTGGCTGGTAGATCCACAAGCTTCTAAGTGTTAGCTTTCAACAAGGCTTTCATTTCCTCATCCATGGCTTCCTTCCATTTAGGATCAATGATAGCCTCTGAGTACCTAGAAGGGGTAGAGACAAAGGACAAGGCCAATACAAAAGAGTAATAGGCAGGAGACAAGTGAGAATATGAAAGAAATATATTAATAGGTTGAAGAGTGCATGAACGAATCGGTTTCCACAAGGCAATAAGAAGATCTAAATAAGGATTAGAGGAAGTAATTGGAGGAGCAATACCTTGGCCGGAATCTGATGTTCCTGATTGGTCGTAGTCATTCACTAGTAGGTCTCTCTTCGATAAACACTTAGCTGCCTTTCATCATCAAGGTCATCATTATAGGCATGACCAATTGCCTCAGGACAAGGAGTAGTACCATGAGGAGGGTTTTCATCATTTGTAGTCTCCACTGGACAAGAGGAAGAAGGTTCAACATGAGGAGCGTCTAAGGAAGAACTAGGGGAAGTAGGAGCTGAGACAAAAGGGTTAGCCTCTGAGGAAGTCTCTTTCACTCCACTAGTCTCTCCCTGAAGAGGATTCTAGGAAGGCTCAAAGAAGGATTGTGACTCACAAAAGGTGACATCCTTAGTGATGAACTTCCTTCTGGTAGCTGGATCAAGACATTTATACCCTTTTTGTGTATGAGAATAACCCAAGAACACCCCACGGATTGCCTTTGGATCCAACATTGTCCATTTAGGATCACTAACATGAATAAAACATACACAACCAAAAACCTTAGGAGGAAGAGAGCACAACTTGCTTTGGACATAGGATAGAAAATGGGGTTCTCATTCCCAAA